CTTCCTTCCCTTTTTGTCTTCTTGCAAATGGCAACCTTTGCAGAAAGAGTCTGAACGCTCAGCTAGAATGGATGGTTACATGCATGCTGGCTAGCCACCAGATTTTAGAGAAGCCAGACCTCCAGCAACCATCTTGCTTCACGGAAGCCAGACTGTTCTTGGTTCCAACCTTCCTGGCAACAGGACTCAACACTGGAATTTTGAATCAAGGTAATTAAGTCAAGAAAAAACACTGATAAGAAAGCCAAATTCATTTTTAGATTAGGCATTAATCACTAGCTGAAAAAGTAATGCTAAGTCTACCAAATTTTAAACCAAATTATTTCAGCTTCTAAAAGCCCTCTTGATTTTAAAAGGCCTATTTAATAATCACTCACAAGTATTTTTCTAATATGATGGAGAAAGGCTAAAGTGGCTTGTCTGGGGGCTTCCAACAGATATGAACAGATAGAGAATTGGAGGGGACAAAGTTTACACGACTGCTTGAAGCATGCTGGCACCAAAAGGAAACGTTTTCCTTTTCTTGACAGCTGTCCTGGTTTGGGCCTGCCAGCCTGAACCACCACAACAGCTTACTGCACAGGATGTTTCTGCAGCCATGTGACCAAGTGTACCATTCTTGAAACAGGATGCCACAGGCAGCACCAAGAAGAATCAATTTATGTTACAAATTTTAGATTAATTCATTTTATTTACAGTTCTTTTTTGCATGTTCCAACCTCTGAGTTAATAAAGGAAGTGAAGTGGAAAAAAAACAAGTTCAGATGTTTTCCCCTTTTGCTCCTGTTTCTTATGAAATTCTATGTCAGCTGCTTCCAATTCTAGAAGAATTGGAACCAGGACTACTTGGGTAGGAAGCCTACAAACAACCCCCACTCAAAACTAATGCAGATTTCAAGAACTACTTAATCTGCTTGGACTTCAAGCTAGACTAGCAAGGATTGCATTAAAGGAGTGATAACAATGCGTTCAGGTGCGAATTATACATTAACACGTAATTACAGGTTTACGGAGACATCTTATCTAAAGTAAGAAGCAGGCTTCAGCATTCAGTCTTAACTAAGGATTTTTCCTTGCATCTTTCTTACCCCTACTTTTTCCTAAGCTACTATATACAACCAAAAGACTGGAGAACAGATATGCTCAAAATGCGTCACTGCTCTGAACATCGCAACCTCTAATTCCTGTTAAGTGTTTTCAGGACTAGATTGACAGTCTCAGCATGGAAGATGTTCTTCAAATTAAAGTGTTAGCATCAAGGTATCTTCCTGCATTTTGAAGTGTCAGGAATAATTGGTTTAGAGAGTCAGCAGTAAAAATCCTGCTTCAGGTATCAAAACAGGAACTTCTCCCAGGAAACAGCCTTCAGCCTCACCAGGAGGAGTGAGGATTCCACACTGTTCTTCTGTAGTAAGGAGACAAACTCAAAAGTTGACTCTGAATGGGGCTAGAAGGAAGAAGGGTTGAAAAATCAGGGTGTGGAGAAGGCCTAAAGACAAACTTGACTGCTCATCAATGTACACTTCAGTGGTCACCTGTCCCAAGACTATTTCAATGAATGCAGATCAGAGGACACAGAGAAAGGCTACAAATATACATAGAAGAACAATAACACATTTAGTGCCTTGCTCAGGAAAGGCAAGGATTGAAAAAAGGAGTATAAAGAAGGAAGAACACCACCTAATCCACACAAGAGTGAGGTTTCCAAGCACAGCTAGGGTTTAATCCAGTGCTGCTCCAGCTGGCCAGAGAGCTTTATGCTCTGTTAAAAAACCCAAACAAACAACACCTTTCAATGCATATAAAGCCACAGCCATGACATTGGCACTCCTGACTCCCAGTGTGCTAGTCATATTGATAGCCTTCCTAATCTCTAGGGATTTTACTGAGACATGCTCAGTAGTTGACTTTGAAGCAAACAAGCAGAGGTTATTCTGTGCCAGCTGCCCCTTTGGGAAGATCTGCTTTTATGTACTACATCTCAGTTGATGAGCACGAAGCAGAGTGCACCTTTTTCTACTCCACAGGGTGGTGCACAAACAGACTGTCATCTTATTCCACCTGCTGAAGGAAGAGGTCTAAAGGCACATAAGCCTTCCACACACCAAGCTGGTTAGAAACCCAGGTTCTGAGTTCTCAATGGACTTGGCTGCACAGGTACTATTAGAAAACAAGTTGCTGAAGCACAGGACTCCACTCACCTTTCCTTCCCGAATTACCCTGGCTTGATGGTTTATCAGTTACAGAACCTAGAGGGGACAGAAAAAAGAAAAAAGACATCTATTTAGATGCCACATGATCCCACAGAACATATAACGTCACATTAATAGAGTCAATACTTCAAATCATAAAGTGTCTGTTTTACTTGCCAACAGCTCAGTTTAGGATTCAGAGAGCCTGTGGCTTCAACCAACTAGGATAGCATAAGGAAGTTTTATGCAGTAAGACGTTAAATCCAGATGTGGGTAAACAAGAAATCTTTAGTAGCTGGATCCAGTGATTTGAAAGAGCTCAGCAGAACAGTGTGCTAGTAAAAAAACCTGGAATAAATCCAAGGGCAAGAAGGAAAGATCAATAAGAGTCCCTTCTTTCGTTCGCAAGTGTCAGGAAGAACAAATCAAAACCAGGTGGGGAGAGTGCGCAGGGAATGCAAGGGGCAGCATTCTAAAGGAAAGGGATTAAGTGGGACAATTTGCAGAAAATGGATTTCAAGCAACCCCTGAACATCCCCATCTGTTTGAAAAGGGACACTGAATAAGATCCAGCACGCACTTGAATACAACATATCTTGGGTTTTTTAATACAACTTAGATCTTCACATAATATATGATTCTACACTTGTTTCTGCAGTTTGCTTTAGTGCTTCATCACATAGTTTTCCACTAAAACTTGAACTGATGATCAAAGCTTTTTGAACAAATCCATTACCAAAGTGTATAAGACAAGCTCTTTTTCTCCTTTTTGAGCAGCTTTATACCCAGGAAACATTCTTCCATGCACCATTACTAAACAGTTCCAGTGATTATTGATCCTTCAGTGAACATGGATCAAAAGTCAGCTCCAAATGAGGCAGCTCTGACAGGCCCAAGAGTCTGGTCAAGACAAACTCTAAACATAAAATCTATTGCCCAGGCACTTTCATTTGCAGATCAGCTCATCACAGATCTACTGTTGAATTAAAAGTAGGAAGCATATACCAAATATTAGTCAACATAGCCCTAACATCTGTGTGTCCTACAGTACACCATGCCTTTACTTTCCTGGTAACACAATTTTATAAACAGCTTAAGACTAAACAAACAGATCAGAAAAATTCTAAAACATGGTCTACCAAAACCATATAGTGGGAAAGATAGAAGAAAGTCATATTCTAAGGTTTAAGCTAAATTACTGTAGCATTTCACCTTACATAAAAACAGGATATTAATCTTATTTTCTTTCCACATACCTGTGAAACATCAAGCATTCCCTCAAGCTACATTGACTCACTGGTTCCCAGACAGTTCTCCCACTCAATTCAAACCCTCACGCAAGTCACTATGTTTGCTTATTACCACAAAACACCCTACAGCCAAGACGACACTGAATAAGGTGAGAAGGGTTAAAAAAAAAGTTTGACTGCTGTCATGCTTGCATCAAAGGGGCAAACACTGCAGGGCCATAGGAAAATCTAGAGCCCAACCTCATCCCGCTTGAGTCATGGGCTGTCATATTGAATGTGGGGAGAAAAAACAAGTAACATCATTCTGTTTTAATTAGAGAAAATGATGGATTTGGGCCCAGTAAACCATAGGGCAACAGAGCAGTCTCAGCCTGAGAGCCCACAAGCACATCACTTAAACCCATCTCTGGGCCTCCCTCTTGTGAGCCCAGTGCTGTCCAGCCCCGTGACACAAACATGGGGATTCTGGAACTGAGCAACATGATCAGAAGACTCAAATCCATTAGTACAGCAAAACCCCAGATTTGGGTGCCAGTAGTCAACAACTACCAGTTTCTCATGTAACTACCTGATCAAACTTTAACTGAAGTCACTCTGCAGGCAAAACGACTCCATGGCTCACTCCATACAGCCTGAGAACCACTTTAAAATACAGCTCATGGAAAAAAGTTATCCCATCTTGTGACTTGTGCCTTGGCTACCACAGGCTGTTACCTTAGTGTTTTTTTCTCAGCGAGCCCTGCAGGAGTGTCTGCACCCTAACTGCAGCACGGGCAGGCCACAGTCCAAGCTCTCTTGCAGCTTCCAAATGCCAGCAAGCACACAGGGAGATACAAGCACAACTGCAGTGCTAAATTGGGTAAACTCGCCGAGTCACCTGAAAAGATTAAGTGCTCTGAACAGGACACATTCTCCCCAACCCCCTTTGGTTAACAAATTAATATTTGTTGAAGCCACTCCCACAGTACCTGAACATACAGGAGTTTTGTTCTGTACAGAAGAGCCGCTAATAGGCTTGCCATCAGGTGTCACACACCAGCAGTATCCAGTGTAGGTATGGCACTGCACCTGTTTAATAAAACAAAGAGCAGGCATTTCATTGCTCATTCTATTACCCACCACTTTTATTATAATCCAGCATCTTAGTGGAAGTCCCAACCCAGGTGCATCACAAACACATGCTTCAGAGTGAGGCAGTCACAAGAGTGTCTCATATTATCTTTTCTTTCTCCTCTCACCTCCCTCCCCCCCAAAAAAAGGTTATTTCTCCTACTCCAACTCCTTTAGCCACAATTCAGAAGGCAAAAGAAGTTACAAGTAGTCAGTTGAGAACACTTCAGTTTGGGGATGTAGCAGTTGTGTCTCAGCTCACTCCACCCTCTGCTAAATCCCATTTATTATTTACCATTAAACAGTTGTCCCACTGCATCACAGCTGGGATGTGGAAAGGCCACCCTGGCCTAATTCCACAGCCACTGCTTGAGAACAGCATCTGCGGGTGTTTTGAGAGCATTTTGTTCAGTAAACATGACTGGGAAAATGCAACGCTGGCTTGCTATGTTAACAAACCTTCTCCAGACAGATTTAAGCTCTCTCCTGTTACTATGTCAACCTAGGCAGTAGGAGCAAGATCCAACATGCTTGCTCTTCATGTATTGACAGGGTCTTAAGAACATTTGATGAAATCTCTAATGAGCCAAAAGGTACTCAGCATAAGATTCATCTTGCCTAACTTTAAAGCTCTACTTCTGAACTGAACATCTAGAACTGCCCGGTTCCTTTCTTCACCATGGCAGGACACCAGAATGACTAGTTCAGATGTGGACATCTAAAGTGAGAATAGATAAATCCTGATCTAGCAGAATGGTCTCAGCAACTAGTAACATCTATGCAGATACTAGTTCAGTAGCTTAACATACTTTTTATGATACTAGTTTCATCCAGCTTAACAAATCTAATTACAGCCTTTGCCTCAGTTTTCACGGAGTGGTCAGCATTTGGATGAAATTCAGGTTGCCTTTGACTTCCCTTGAGACAAAAGTGATCATCATACAGGCATCTGTGTAAATACTAACAGATTCCAAAATCCTTTCTAGCAAACACGCTTTCAGTTGTAGCTGAGTGCCCACATCAGTACTTCCATTATCTTAAAATGGTATAGAAATGCCTACGTTACTATAAGTTAGAGATGTCTCCTTCAATACATTTCTGAAGAAAAAAGCCACAAAATGAGATCACTTCAGAAACTGCCTTTTAATTTTACTTGTAAATTGAATTCTGTCCATTCTCTCTTTCTCCAAACAAGTTCATTGAGGCCTATTTCCCATTCCAGTCCTTTCCACACAGAAGAGAAGAGTGATGGGGTGTTTGTACCATTCCCTTTATTAGTGATCCTTCAGAGCTAAACCAGTCATTCCCCCTTGCTGACAGCTGGCTCCGATTCCCTAAGGTAGCAGAGTTTGTTCAGAGACTTAACGACAGTCTTTTTAAAAGGCTTTGAGTATCACATAAAACATGATCTAAGAACAATTATAGCAGTACCACGTGTTTATCTTGGGTTTTACTAAAGTGCAAATCAATCGTTTTGCCTCAAGCAAATTCACTTTTAGCAGCCAAAATCAACAATAATCTCATGTATCCATGCTACTAGAGTCACTGTCACTGCTTCTTCGTTTTTCTCTCAATATATCACAAAATTGATTGCAAATTACTCAAAAGCACTATGAAAGTAATTAGCAATAATCAACTTGCAAAATTTCTTATCACTCAGTAATCAATTGCACATTCCAAATGAGTGTGATGGAACTGCTTGGGTTTCTGTGTTTAGTATTTATCTTTGCTAATCACAAACACATTATTGCATTCCCAACAGCACAAGAAGCTGTCTTTACATCTGAGCATTAATTGTAAAAAAAAAAAAATCTTACCCAGAGATGAAGTCAAATTCCAGAACAGGGTCTTGAATTTGTAGAGCAACACCATTCCATGTTGCATTACAGAAAAAAATTCAGTGTACCCAGCATTTAAAAGATTCAAGCGTCAGTGACTTGACAGTCCTTTAGTCAAGCCTTCTGAAAATAAGTACATGGCAAAGGAGTCCAAAAAAGTGTATTGACATAAATCTAGGACAGATGTATTAAAGAGCATGTGAAGCAACTTGTCTCAATGGAGACCTACCAGTTACATATACACATTTATGCAAGCCAAGCGCATTACATTCATAAAAGCAAAGTGATTTTATAAATAAACTAATGAATGCTGGTCTTCCTTGGACTGGTATTCCATGACCCTTTCTTCCCCTTGCTTCCATTAGAAAAACAGAAAAAGAAATAAATCTCAGATTGACAGCACTTTCACAACCACCATATGTTCTACTGCAGCACCAAAGGACTTCCCTACTACTGATAATAGCAGCAATGACATCTCAGCCCTTATCCTAAAGGCCAGACAACTACCCATGAAGAACAGACTTCAGAAACCTCAAAAATCACTGCAGTTGGTTTTCCTGTATGTCATCATGATGAGAGATGCTACCTTTCACCTTGATACATGACCAGATCTCAGCATATTTAGGTGTCATAAGAGTTGCCTACAGTCTAGAGTTTGCAGCTTAAAGGCTGGGGGAAAAAAAAAACTGGTATGCTTTTCACCAGTTACATAGCACTGCTATAGCACTGGAAAAAAGTAAAGGCAATAGCTGATCCAGTACCATTTCTAAACACTGTGTGTAAATGCATACTCTACTGTAAAGTGTCAAATATTCCCAAGCACCTATAAGAAGGTAACTTGAAAACTCAGGTTCATACTTTAATTTTTTCTAATGCATTACCAATTATCTTAGGTCTGAGGCTTTTTTCCTACATCCCTTTTAAATCTTCTACCTGAAGCTCAACCTCATTCTAATCCTACTCCTACAGTATCAAGACTTTAAAATACTGTTATAATCAGAAAAGTAACTGTGTAAAAGTGACATCTGTTTACAGCACAGATCTATTTTCAGTTATTGAGTTAATTTGGGCTCTACCAAAATACATGTTAGAAAAAGCATTTGAGTTTTTTTGGTTCTCAGTCTTCTAAAGCTAAGCATTGTATCAGAGAAAACACATCAATTCTATATAGGAAATAAGCTTGATTAGCTGCAGCTTGGCTAGCACAGAACACTCATTACTGCTGGAAAGGCATATTATGGAATGACATCTCAAATTAACATACACCTGTCCAACAGCTGAAGATTTTAGTTATATAATAGGAAATCTGATAAACCTGCAAATTGTTTGAGGTCTTCCAACAGATTCCCCATTAACACCTATACTTTAAAAAAAAAAAGAAAAATCAAACTGCAGTTTAAAGCTTTGCAAGCACCTGAATTCCTTGGTCATGCAAGACACTGTTCCTGTTTTTCAGGGATAAGAGAGATGCCATCTCAACTGTGCCTCAATTGAAGGGTGAGAAGCATAAGGGACAAACCCAACAAAAACTGCTCTGCCACTGTGAGAGATGGAATTGTTTTGCTTCAGCCATTTTGTGCATCAACGGCACAAGCAGAGCTGTGTAACTGAAAAACAACTCAAAAGTAGAAAAGTGTGAATCGGGTTTGTGATAGGCTAACGGGTCGTGAAAGAATGTGCACCCTAAAGTACCTGACCAATGGGAAAAGGGGACAGGACATAAATACCTGAAGTTTTGTAGCTAAGTGTGCTCTTTGAGAGGCACCCGACTCAGCTGACTCATTTATTTTGATCTGGAAAAAACTTTTATCTTTGCTTTGAAGACTTTGTCCTCTCTACATTTTTATCCATGAGCAAGCATTTCTCACACCACCATTGCCCAAATTAAGAGTGTAGCAGCAGCTCCTCTACGCCTCCCTGCCATCACAATGGGTGAAATCAAACAGGAGCTAACATACTAGCCACTGGCCCCATGAATAAACACCTGCTCTTACCGAGTTTATTACAATATGAAAACATTAGAAGTGCAGTCACTGGCAGACAACTCTGACTCTTAATTTCCTGAGGGGAAAGAGCAGCCACTGTTTGGGTTTCTTCAGTATCTCACTGGCAATGCCTGAATCAGATTCCCAAGCAGTTGAAAGCTTCTCAACAAGCAAGCAGCAGCATCCCTTTACAGTCACTTGACAAAGGAGGATCAAGGTGTTGTTTCCAAAAGATAAAATGGAAGTGGGAGAGAAATTGCATACACATGTACGAGGGAGAGAACAGGGGCAAAGCAGTTATTCTGTGATGGCTGAGACCAGTCTCTACAGAGTTCCAGAAAGCAGAAGTTTGCTGCAAGAGGCTTGAGAGTGCCTTGGACAAGCACTGGACTGAGCACAGGAACAGCAATGCTCAGACTAGCCTTTCACCGCAGTTCAGATGAAGAATTTGGTAACCGATTCCTATCCCATCACAGATCAGACAAACATCTCCTGGCTCCTTCCAGAATGGAGGGGACAGGGGAAGAAAAACATTCCTTCTGCATTCAAAGCAGTACTTCTATGAAAGAAGAAAATGCACTTCCAGTTTTTGAATGGCACTGCTGAGGGTGAGAGCAGGCAGCCAAGCTACTGCCCACACTCACAGCATAAGGCAAGACTCCAAATGCTGGTTTGCACCCAGGTGCTCCTTGTAAACACTGTAAAAACAGCTAAATAAATTGTTCCAAGCCAGTAGGTCATCTGGTCTGACCCAGAGAGCAGAAGCAATTCCTTAATCAAGCCTTCCCTTTGTTCAAGCCACTGAAGCTCATCTGGAGAGTCTTCTGACCTTAAGTTAGTGGCATAGAATTGGCACACTGGCCTGATGGCTATTTATCCTAACTCTAAGTGGTGATGCCTCTGTTCTAAGTGTATCGCTGTACTGCTTAGACACTGATGTTGTCATACTTTCTGCTACATTAAGAGTCAGCTGAGTATTATGAGAAGCCTACCTTGCCTTTACAGACAATTTTAGGGAGCTATGAATCAGTCTGCATCTTAAGTTTGAACTTCTGTGGGACTGCAACCCCTTAAATTATTCTTGTCACTTTTTCTGTTCCCTGCTCACATTTAATTCTTCCCAAATGATGTCGTG